CCTGTTTTTCCTGCGTGATCCTGAGCAAGTGATTCAAATTCTGTGAGCCCAATGCCAAAACTGTGAGTGATAATACCTACAGTTAAGAATGTTATTGCAAGGATTAAATAAAATAATTGTAAAGTACCTGCTACAAGTGGGTGCCCCCTTAGCAGTTTGCCCCGGTCTGACTGTAGCGGCCTCATTGTTGGCCGCATCTCCATATGCCCATGTATGTGGCTGGTTCTGGACAGACACACACACCCTGCACCCCACCCAACACAGTGCTGGACCAGCAGATTCACTGCAGGAGCTCTCTTCCCTCCTCCCTGCCCGGTCCTGGTGCTGCAGCTTCTCTGTGTTGTGCAGTATTGGAAAAGGAAATTACTGAACAGATTGCAATTAAGGGGGGAGAAGGGGGAGAGAGAGACAGAGGCCCGAAAATGCAGCCTGACTGAGCGCTAAACTGTGTTTTTGCCCGGAGCCAATCAGGAGCCTCTGACAAGAGCCTGTCCCCACTTACAAATCTAATTGCAGGAGGTGTGGCTGAGGTGGCCCTGGGAACCCTGGAGAGGAGGGGGCTGCCAGCACCTCCGGGAAGGCTGCTGGCCACTTGCTTGTTGCCTTGAAAGTTACAGAGCCACACGCGAGGGGATGTAGGGCGGGCACAGGTCTTGGGGGCCTGGGAAGGCTCAGACTCCAGAATTTCTGCCAGTTATTATAATAGCTACCAATGAATTAGCACTGCTATGCACTGGACATCCATAATTCCATCTAATCCTCTGGAGAACTCCAGGAGGTAGATGATTATTACCTCATTTTATAGATAAGAAACTGAGGCACAGAGCATCCCTACTATCTCCTAGGCATCGCCTTAGGTCCAGGGACTTTCTTTACATTTTCTCTCTTTCAAGTCTCCCTGCCACTTTACTCCCATTTCACAGATGAAGAGGCAAGACTCCAAGAGAGAAAGCACCTTGCCTGAGAGCACAGAGCTGATTTTGGATGGACAAGGATTGCACCTGGTTCTCTGACTCCAGAGAACTCACTTCTTTACTGTACCACACTGTCCCTTTGTTGAGCAGGGCATTCTGCATGGAGTTGCCAGATTTAGCAAAACTACAAGAACAAAAAAACAGGGATGGCCAGTTAAATTTGAATTTCAGATAAACACTGACTTTTTATTTTTAGTACTGTAAGTATGTCCCAAATATTTTATGGGATATACTTGTATTAAAAACGATTCTTTATTTGAAATTCAGGTTTAGCTAAATGTCCTGTCGTGTATCTGGCAACGCTACACCTTCTCTCTCCTCCTGCCTCGAGCTCCCCTCTCTTCCGCCAACAGCTTGCCTTTAAAGGCCAACCCTTGGGACCAGCCATGCTGGTGTATCTCTAGCCTGTTCAAGGGAGGCTGCCAAAGGGGAAGACAAGCTCCCCTGCTCTGGAGGGCAGAGCCCTGGAGCAGTGTCCACTCTGCCACCGACTGTGTGACTTTGGGCAAGTCTATTCCCCTCTATGAATTCTCTTTAAAAGAAAGACCCAGTTTTCAGATACTAGGTAATCGCAAGTATCCTTGGCAGCCCTAACTTTCCTAATGTCTTCTCCTTTCTTCCTGTTTGTGCAAAAGATGGTACAGAATCTACATTTGTGCAGCTGTGAGCCCAGAGGACACCCAACACCTGGAACAGGGAACCCCAGGGGAGCAATGCTGGTCAGAGGGGACCCACGGTGTGGGCTTGGAAGGCTAGGGGCCGAGACTGCTGGGAAATGAGCTGTCACCGTCATTGTCCTCCAGAGGTGGCAGCTCACTGCAGCATTCAGACCCGGGGGGCGGGGCCCCTCCTGCATTGATGGCTGTGCAATCTTGGGCAAATTCCTTAACCCAGACAAGGGCCTCAGTTTCCTCAACGGTGAAGTGGGACTAATGCTGCCACAGGAAGTATGTAAAGTGCCTGGTGCGCAGCAGGGGCTGAATAAAGGGTTATTCTTATTGTTTTTGTTGCTGTTAATATTACATCCTGAAAAAAGCACCTTGAGGAATGCTAACCTCTGAAAGGACAAACATGTTTCAGGCCCTCTCTAAGCTTCAGCAAAGAACGCAGTGCATTCCAGGCTGCCTTCGTTTCAGCTAAATTTTATTTGTTGGATTTTTGACAGACGTCTAAATTATACATCGAATTTTCCACATGACCAAACACCGCGTCCCTTCCTTTGATTATCACTTTCAAAAGGGACTATAAAAAAACCACCTTTCGATGGCTCGGACTGAACCCTGAAACCACATGGAGCGCGGGGCTAAAAATAAAAGGAAGTAAGAACTGGCCCCTGAGAAGGAAAGAGAAATCAAAGCAAACTCTGACGGGAATCAAGGGACGAGTCCTGGCAAGGGTGACATGGTGTCACCCTCCAGGCCAGGCCGGATAAGGAGCGGCCGACAGTGAGGGTGGGGCACAGAGTGGCACAAAAATAGCCACCGGTTTAGCCCAGAGGGGAATAAAGAAATTTGTCAAAAGCCAGGAGAGAGAGACGTGGAGCTGGAGTGAGAGAGGGGGCAGGACTGTGTCCTTCCAGCAGTTTCAGGAGCTGCAGACTTCTTTAACCCAGGCGCATTTCTACCCGCCGGCATAATCGCTGACTTTCAGCTGTGCGCCGACATGTTCCCCAGCTCAGCCCACATCAATGACACCCTTGTTTCCATGGTAACCAAGGGAGAGTGAAGGGGAAAGGGTGTGCTGCGCTGGGCGCGGGGAATCCAGCCAGGAGGAGCCGCCAGGGGGAGGTCGGACGAGGGGCGGGAGGAGCTTTTCCCACCACTGGTTTGAGCACACATCCTGGGCCCAGTCCAGGCCTTGCCTGCCCTCAGGCTCCCAGCCCTCTCCCCTGCACATTCAGACGCCGCTCGCGCACAGAGCAAGTCTTACTAAGACTCATGAGGGGTGGGAGGATGGGAAAGTGGGTATCCCCTTTCTAACTTCAAATTCTGTCTTCTGGTCACGGCCACAGGGGCCAGGGGTGGGGCTGGAAAGAGGAAAGGGGACTTAGAAGAATTTTGTTTTTACAAATGGGAGCTGTCAAACTCCGCATTTTTCGGGCTTCTCTCATCTAGCCTGTGAGCCCCGGGAGGGTTCAGCAGGGCTCAAAGGGAAGATGAAAGCTTGTGACATCCACAATGTCTCTGTGTCTTTGGTGGAAAAGCTGAACATTCTCTCTGAACATTCACAGAGGCTCTTATCAGAGGAGGGCAAGTGGCTCCTGCCTGCTGGCCGAGGCCTTGGGAGGGTTCTTTCAAACAGTTCCCTAAGTTAGTGGTAAAAGAACAAAAATATTTTACAGACCATCCACTGCCAGAGTCAAAGTTGCATATCACAGTGTTCCAAAATTACGGACCTCAAAGCAGGCATTTGGCCCCTCAGATAGCGTCTCTGGTGCACTATTTGGAGGGAAAAACTATTTTCAAGTGCTATTGCCACACTTCCAGCCTGACAGAAGGGGCACTTCTGGTTCCTTAGAATTCTGTTTTGCTTCTCCTCAAAGCCAGAGAGGTGAGGGGTGAGACAGAGAAGCCAGAGGAGGTTGCAGGGAGCAGCTAGCTCAGTGTTTAAAAACCTCACCTTCTTTCGTTTTGCAAGTCCTTACAGGTCTGTCCACAGGAGCCCCAGGGCATCTTTTCATGTCTGGCATTGTTAATGGCTTTCACCCTAGACTGCCTTTGAAGCTGGCCATGCTCTGGCCTCACCTACACAACTATGTCCAGAAAAGCTGGGGACTGAAGGCCAGGCGCTGGAGCGGCCCCTTCAGACTGCTCGCATGCCTTGGTGGGCTTGGGAAGGCAGCTGGCCTCCTGGGACCCACCAGTCACCGGACAGTCTCTTATTCATTCTCTGCAAACCCCTGAGCTCAGGCACCAGAACAGAGTTCAATTCAGGAGCCGGGTGATGCTCTGGCCTGCTTTGCCATGTTTGAAGCCGGAGATTTCTTAAGGCTCAGGGAAACAAGCTCTTTTTGCAACGCAGGGCAGGAGAACTCTCCTGCCATTCCTCTCCAATCAATCAACAGAGGACACATTTTGCTGGAGAGAGGCAGAGGAGCCAGCAGCTGGGGTGACTCTGGCTTCCCTGGGCCTGGCCCCTGCAATCATACACACCCATGTTCTCCCCAGCAGCAAACTCTCTCCACCCACGAGCATCCCACACCACCAAGACGCCAGCACCGTAAAAATTGATCTCTTCTAAAAATCGATCTGCCTGCCTTTTCTCAGTGGAGCAGGTTCAGGGTAAAGCTGCATTTATTTTTAAAATCTGATAGCAGCGGCCTATTGTGATCATTTAAACACAGAATTCTTTGAGCTTTAGAAATCCCTTCTATAGGACGGCCGTGGAGAAGCCAGCTAATCTCGGAGTCGGCTGCTCACTGCTCCACTGAACTGGAGAAAGCCTGTTTGCGCTAGCCTGAGCCCTCGATGTGAAGGCTTTTTAAGGACCTTGTAATTTTTTCTGGAATTAAACCTCCCACCTCTCCTTACATTCCAGATGTCATTACAGTCAAAAGTCGTAAGAATTTGCTTCCCTGTGTGGCTGGCTGGGGGGTTGGGGACGGAGCATGGTTCTGTGGTGACTTGTTTGTGAGAAAGGATTTTTTTTTTCCTTTCCAAAGGGTGAAGATTACATACACAGTCTCCTACCTGCATGACAAGATGGTTTAATCATCTGCTGTTCCTCCCCTCCCCACCAGCAGCTTCTGGCTGGACAGACTGCAGCCCTGGCGCAGTGGTGATGGTAAAAATCACTGACCAGCACCAGCAAACGCTGCCTGTCGTTTCAAAACCATGGGGGGAATGTAAGGGACAGGTCAGTAAATACATCAACGCAGCACAAGCTGCTTCTTCCTCTTTTCCTTCCTTTTTTTTTTTTTGAAAGAAAAAAGCCCAGTGGAATTGTCTAAACTGAATGCAATCTCTTACTCATTTCAAAGATCTCATTTTCTAATCATGCGCTTTGAGACATTTAACACTATTTCAATTATGCAGAGGAAATAATATAATTCCTTTATTTGAAAAATGATCCTGAACCTCAGAGATCAGTTAAATCTACTGCTGGAATGGGGATTCTTTTTAAACTGTGTTGTTCCCTCTCTTCAAACAGCTGTAGCTGTACACAGATGGAAAAACATTTGGTCAGAAAGCAGCAAATTAGTGTTTTTCAGGGCAGAATTCAGCTCCCGCAGCTCCTGCATCTCCATCCGTCTAGATTTTATTTCTTCTTTGCATTGACATTTTTGCAGACCCAGTTCATGCCGTCCTTTGAGGGAAATGGGCAGAGAAAGGCAGTGTTAGTTGTAAGAAAGCCAGCACACACTCAAGCCCAGGACGGGAGGGAGTAGGGTCCTGGGCCCTCCCTCCCCACCCCTCGGCTCCAGGAGTGTGCCCCCCTCAGGGGCCCACCTGGGTGACCCGGGACAGTGACTTCCTGGGGAGGAGGGGGGAGGCTTTGGGGAGCACGGGCAGGATGGGGAGGGAGGGCCCAGGGTCTGAACTCGAGAAGGGTCCTCAGGAACTCCCTCTGAAAAAATAAACACATCCGCCTGGATCCAAGGCCTGATTGAAGAGCTATCAGGAAAGATTCCAGTCATTTTTGGCTTTTTCTGAAAGCTGACCTTTGCTAGGGCATTAAATTCAATCAGCCACCCTTCTGGTGCCCCAGCATGTTTACAGTGTGACAGTGTACACTTGGGTTAAATTAAATTTCTTTTTGGAAAAACAAACCAAGTGCAGTGTGTGTTACTAGACACACACTGGGGCAATGTGCGTTTACTTCTCTTTGCGCAGCACTACAGACAGGTTTAAAGGGCCTGGCCTGATTCTTGTAGCTTTAAGCACTACCAGGCAGAGGGACTGGGGAGAAGGTTCCCTTAAAGGCACAGTGACCTTGAAAGTGTCCTCTCTTAGAAGGCTGGAGAGGGACAGAGGTAAAACCCACACAATGCCTACAGCCACCTGGCAGGCGGCAGGATTTCTCGTGGATGCTATGCCTGCCAGAGATGACCTCCTTTTCAACCCCCTTTGGAGTCATTCCAGAATGCTCTCCCTTTCCCCAGAGTCTCTTCGACCTTCAGGAGTGTGCGAAGTCCCCTCAGAAGCCCAGAACAAAATCAAAGGCGGTTCCTGCAATGAATGCCTCTCCCCCACATTTCCAACACACACATGCTCGCTGAGGTCCCAGTCACATTTGCACATCTCGGGGCATACATGACGTGCAGAGTCCCACATTTCCTGTGGCCATGGAGCTAGTTGTTGAACCTGAACAGCTGAGACAGCTTAAAGTAATAAATACCAGCTGACACCCTTGGCCATTCGGAGCATTAATCCCATAAACAATACATCACTGCAAAACAACCAGCAGGCATCCTATCTCCCGGCTAATCTGACCATAACCTGAATTTACAGTGAGTAAAACTCCGCCAGTTGCCATCAGTGCACCTGGGCAGGAGAACCAGACAAGCTGATGGCTGTCCCAGGGCAGACCTCCGGGCGCTGGCCAAGATGAGGCCAGCCATGGCCGACAGCCCAAGGTGGACAGCACCTGGCAGCAGTGGGGACAGGGGGAGGAATGCCGAGGTGGGAGAAAGGTGGACTCCAAATGCATCTCCAGTTAACAAGTGGGTCAGCTACTTTGAAAACCTGAAGCCAATTTTAAGACCATTTTATGAAAAGGATTAATTTAAAGAGAAGCATGTTTAATTTTAGTAGCTAATTGGTTTCCAGGAAAAAAAAAAAGATCACCTGCCAGGAGACAAAAAAGATTTTACAAATAAAAGAGGGATGAATAAGATAGCCATCTTCTCTTTGCCTTCCAAGCTGAACAGCTCAGCACTTACGTAGCACTTTCCATCTTCAGGAACCCACACAAATACCGTCAAAGGTGCACACTCAATATTTTCTCCTCTATAGAGACCTGTACTATTTCATCAAATCATCCTCTCTGAGAATCAAGAACAGTGTTCCCACACTATATGAATAGCATTTTTCCCCCTTGTTTTATAGCTGATTAGGGGGTGGAGGGGTTCTTTTATTATATGTAACTGAACATGAATGCAGTCAGAGATAGGAAAAATATTTACTCAGCTGCAGGAACCCAAAGCAGAACTCGGAGGGTGAGGGGCAGCTTCTTCCTGGGGATCTGTTATGGAGGCAGAGGGGACTTAAGCGCGGGAGCCCTGCTGACGGGCGGTCCTTCTCCAGATGTCCATGAGGGCCAGCGGTGGCAAAGCCCTTCCAGCCACAGTCCTGCCAACAGAGGGCGCTCGGAGGTCAGTAGCCACCAGCTGACCTGCGGGCCCCTGGCCTCTGCAGCTGCCGCTTGCAACCTGGAGGCGCGTAGGAGCACACACAGAATTCCTAGGGGCAGAGCTCTGTGGCTGCTCCAGCTGGGGAGGGGAGCCCGCCCTGATCTGAAGTGTTCGGGGTTGGGGTGTTGTACCTTTCCTCTTATCACCCAGAGGAGAACCTGAGCTGGAGGTGGGAGGTGTCGGGGAGGCAATAGACAATGGGGATAACACTTCTCCAATCAAATCAGGGACAAGCTGTGCCAAGTTGCCGCTGGAAAGGAAAGATAATGGTGTTATCCAAGATCCTGACCGGGGAGTCCATGTCAGACTGGCTTGAAGCTGTGTTTACAGAACCCAGCATGGTGTCTGGCCTACAGCAGACATTTAATGTATCTTTTAAATTAATCTTTGTAACAACCCTGTGAAGTGGGCACTATTGTAATTTCCACGTTACGGATGAGGAAATGGGAGCACGGAATAGTGTGTGGCAGAGGCGGGCTGTGAACCCAGGCAATCTAGCTCCGGTGTCCATGCTCTTGAACCATTTACCATTTCTCAGCGGATGCCGGCAAGTGCCAGAGAGAGTAGCTCGGCCTCAAGCTTGCAGGGAAGTTGGGACTCACCCTGAAGTCGGGACAGGGAGGAGTAATTACAGTTTGTGCTTCCTCAGGACTTCCAGCTGAAGAGAGGGGCACGAGACTGACCCTGCCTGGCTTTGCGGTAGCTCTGAAGGTGCCACAGGCAGTTCTTGGCCCCTCAGCTCTAAAGACTGCGGGCTGCCAGGTCTCCAAGCGTGTGGAAGCCTGCATGTTTACCTCACTGCACCATCCTGGGCCGTGAACTATTCGCCAAGACCACCTCCAGTGGAAACTCTACATTTAGAGACGACATCACTGCAAGAGTCGACATCACTTCTGCTTCTCAGGTTTAAATCAGTGTGCCACGGCACTCTTGCCTGAATCTGACAAGCCTGTGCTTTTCTAAAACAGCCGACTGAGAAAAGGTGATCGTTTACTTGGGAGGAGGTTACTGCTCTGCCTCCAAAGAAGGAAATAATTCACAGGTTTGTTTAATGGTTGACCCTTTATTGTTAAAAACTGGTTTGACCAAATTTCTGCACATTTGATCTTCATCATGGGAATGGCAATCTTACGGCATGAGTTGTCTCCCTCCCCCCCCCTCCCCTCCCCCTGACCAATCCTGCTAAAACTTAATTTGAATTGATTAGCTTCAATTCAATAAGGGACTACGAGAGACATCAAACCTCAAACACTAAGCTTTGTTTGGTCTCATGGAGAGGAAGTAAATTTTACCACGTCGTGGTATTATTCCCTCCTAGAACTGCTGGGAAAACTATCAGGCTGCCCCTGCCCAGATGGGTGGAAAGCTGCTCATCACAGATTTCTCCGTTCCAGGGTTAAAGGCGCAATGCCCCTTTCCATGGGCAGAGTGGTCTCTGGCTGCACTGCCCCTTTTAATTTGATCTCTCTATAGTGCATCCATCACTGCTGGATGGTGGAAGGGAGCAGTGGCAGCCATGGTTGGGTGGGCCTGGTTTTTAACGCCATGAGGACTACACGGTCACGTCAGTAATTGCTTTAAGACGACAAGGAGCTCAGACCCTTGCTGAGCAACGCAGCCTATCCCATTGCGCCACGGGGCCCCCAGGGTCAAGGAGCAGCTGGATGCAGCATACATAAAATATTGCTTGCTATTAATATTTTTTCTGGTGACAAAGGGCACTGCAACAGAGACGGAGCAAAATCGTATGCTCCGAGCTTGCTTAGTCTACAGAGAGGTTGGAAAATTTAAAAATAAATCTGAGGTCTGACTTGCAGATAAGTGGTTCCATGTATACTTAGAGGCAAAAATAACTGATGCCAGGACTAGGAAAAAGTGGGAAATGTCATTTTTTAAATATCGAAATTCTGTTGGCATATGAAGGGAAAAGTCCCTTAGACCAAGGAGAAAAAAACGAAAACAAGAAATGGGGCTGGTGGCTGTCTCGTGTCCAGCTGCGAGGCACTCTGACAGCCCACACATCAGGGCTAAGACCGCCAGCAGTCCTTTCTACGTAGGTGGGACTACTGTGAGCCAATGGTCGCTCCTGTTTGGAGAAGGAAGACGGGATGTGGGGTAGACGTGACAAGAAAAGGCGAGCATGAGGTGGGGGCACGGAGAGCAATACCCAGGAGAACTTTCTGCTGGCTGAAAGCTATTGGTGCTTGCAGGTCTCTGTTAGGACTTAGGCTAGAGACCAGGTTGAAGCTGCTGATCTCTGCTTTGAAAGGAAATTCTAATCCAGTATAATTTTAATCTCACACACACACACACATACGATGTTTTAGAAAGAAAACGCCTTCAAACACCTGAATATACAATAGCAAAGGGCAGCTGTGGTCCGGGGTTCAAATTCAGGTCTGCAGCTGGGAGAGGCGCTGATTCTCTACGCCATTCTCTGGCTCTAAGCCAGATGCTTAGTTCACTGTTTCTAGACACCTGGGGAAAAGAAGAGACCGAGAGTCCCAGGGCTGGACATGCTACCCGAGGAGAGGTCCTAGCAATGCTGGCCTCGCCCAGGGCACGGAGGGAGGCTGCCTTTATGTCTGTAAGGCAGTCTGGCTGAGGGGCTGCAGGTTTTCCCTCCCAGATATTGTTCAGTTTCTCTTCTTTCTGCCTTCATCTACTTGACTTAACTGGGTCTCTTCTGATCTCTCCTCTGGACTATGGGTCTTTCAGCAGGACAGAGTTTCCAAGACTGATGCTCTTTCAGCTTCTGGTGCCCTTTATCTGTGCTCTGCTCTTGACCGTTTCTCATGAAAATCTGCTTTAATTACATGATGGCCTGGTCTCCTCATCACCATTAATCAGGCAAAGAAAGACCTGTTTCACCCACAACTAAAAATATACAACCACGTACCGGAGGGCTTTGGGGAGAAAAAGGAAAAAATAAAATCCTGGAAAAAAAGAAAAAGAAAGATGTGTTTTGAACTCGCTTGAAGCTCTCAAAAGTCAATTTCCACACCCAGAGCAGGGGCTGTTGGTATTGCCTGTCCCTGTGAAGACTGCACATATTTGCCTTCAGAATATCAGGTGGAACAAGAACCTGAAATCCATCCCAGGAATCACTAACTTCCATAATCTCCAATCATGAGTTTAAGCTACTCAGCTAAGAAGTGACATACTTGTCCTATTAGTCCAGAGGGTGTAGCTCACCATCTAGCGGATCTGTCGCTGTTCCCCGGGCTCACCCACTTGAGGGTGGTATTTATGAGTATGAGACAGTCTCTCAAATGCGTTTTGATTAAACACATACAAGCAAACACAATGTAAACAGAGGCACTGTCTTTAAACACCTGAAACTGTAACAGAAATTCCAGGATGTTTTTTTTAACCTTTGTACGTTTTCTTTCAGGGTCACCAGAACTGTAGTGCCAGACGTTACTTGACCCATTTCATGTCTGCTCATCTGGATAGCTTTGCCCATTACTGACCAGCTTTCAGGGGGTGGGGACGGGTGGGGAGGGTGGAGTGGGAGGATGAAATAGGAATTTAGGGAATTTGAGTAATGACTGCACAGTATCCATGTCTTATGGACATTTTCCGAGTCAAGTCTTTAATTTTTAGGAAGACTTAAAAGCTTTAATTAATAAGAATCATTAAACGCCTGCATTTGAACTAGGCAATGCAGGAAAAGAATTCCACCTAAGTGACTCTTTTTAAAGTGAAAACCAGGAAACAGGCTGAGTGGGCAAGAACCTGGGTCAGAGGCATTACCTGAGGGAAGGACACGGTCAATCAGTGCCTCACAAAGAAAAGCATTTCCACAGAAAACTCCGCGACCTTTCTCCAGTCCCCAAAGGTTACCATTAAAGGACAATAGACAGCAGATTCCCTTCTTAATTAACATTTTTATTAAATAACTCATTTCAAATAATGGTTAAGTTCTCTAAATTTATATCATTCTATTAACCATAATCTAATCTCATTAACCTTGAAATCCCAGTCTTAACTACCCAATTCTATACACCATGGTACTATCTACTAAACTAATTAAGTGACCTTCAAACTATTTCTCCTCCATGTGAAATCATTATTTTTTTTGCTCACAGTTCTTTGTCGGATCTCTCTCGATATCATTTCCTGTGAACCTAGTTGCTGAAGGTCCCTGATCTGAGAAGAAGTCTCTTAACAAAATTAAACCATACCTGACTGTCTCACTTGATTCAAACTGGTTGATTTTAGAGCCTTCCCCAGCCTCCCCCCACTGTCTAACTGTCTGACAGCTCGCTGCCTCTTTTTTGGCCTAAGGATCCTGTGACTTAGAGGAAACTCCACTTCTATGGTGGTTACACAGCCAGGAACACACAGCACTCTCGTCATCTCCGCCTGACAGGAGCAGCGTGGGGTGGGGGCTGGGAGGACAACGACAGGAGCTCCCCCTCCTAACCTCCCAGCTCCTCTGAAGTTCCCTCGACTTGAACGCCACTACTATAACCACTACTCTAAAGACTGACTCGAGAGAGCCCCAGTCCTCCTTTGTGCCTCCCTAAGGCTGGCCTTACTGTTAGTTCCAGCTTTGCTGTTTCTTCCTTTCAACACGCTGGCCAAGTGAACAAGGATGACAGAGCAGTCAATTCCCACTTTCTTAGGAGTATGCACACAGAAGGTATTTACTTTTAGTCCCACCTTTAGCGCTCCCACCCTCAAGATGTTCTCTAGTTTCTACATTTGTGATCTGAACCATTTAGGGAGGCAGGGTCCTCTTGCTAAAGTGGTTTGTACCAACACAAGAAAGCTACTATCTTCTCCTGGGCCTCATCCTCACCGAAATAACCTTAGGCCTCGTGAATGCCATCTTATGCACAATCGAGGGAAATACCTTAGGCAAAACTTGATTTTTTTTTTAAAGTGAGAAGCTAAATAAAATGATCAGAGTTTACTTATTCAAAAACATCCTGGGTTGTAGTGTACTTGTTGGACCAGCTTGTAAATTAAGCTGGAAAATGCAGTTTATTTGAAACCTGATAAGTATATAATCACATATGTGACTGCAATTTTATAGAAGAGATTCAAGAAGAATAAAACTTAACCACTGCGCCCCTGAGCCGCCAAGAAGAATAAAACTATTAATGGTAGTTAGTTCCGTTGTTGGGTGGGATTAGGGGTGAGAAAAGAACTTTTCTGTTTTTAATTTTATATACTTTTATATGATTAACAATGAGACTATATTAATTTTATAACCAGAATCTAGGAAGGAAGGAAGGAAATAAATAAGACAATATCTGCCTCCTCCCCAAACCTAAACCCACAGAGCTCCAGCATCCGTTTTAGGGATGTAACCAAGGTAATCTTGAGAGGGCCCCCACAACACACATACACGCACGAACAGCTTCTGAGGAGTCTGGAGGAGAGGGCACTTGTCTTGTGCTGACTGGTCTGCCCTCAGATCTAGAGGCCAAGCACAGAAGCAGGCCCAGGTTGTTTGTGTAACAAAAAGAAAAAAACCAAGGGGCTGGCCCCATGGTGTAGTGGTTAAAGTTTGGCACACTCCGCTTCGGCAGCCCAGGTTTGTGGGTTTGGATCCCAGGTGTGGACCTACACCACTTGTCAGCCATGTTGTGGTGGTGACTCACATATAGAGTGGAGGAAGACTGCCATGGATGTCAGCTCAGGGCTAATCTTCCTCAGCAAAAAAACCCTGGAGGATTGGCAACAGATCTTAGCTCAGGGCTAGTTTTCCTCAGCAAAAAAACAAAAAAAAACCACAAAAAAAGGAAAAAACCAAGCAGCAAACAGCTGGAACACCTGAGATAATTCTGGGAGGTGATTATTTGCTTGCGATAAAAGCAGTCAGGCAATTTTAAGACAAATCAGTGTCAAATGTCTTAGAATACAGGGAAGAAGAGTATTAGAAGGTAAATGGAAAGAGGCTGCGGGACAACAATCGAGAAGCAAATCGCAGGCTTGTACCCCAACACACCAACTTGAGAGAGAAGCAAACTGGTCATGTCAAGAGACACATGCCATATGGCAATGAGGGAGGATAACGTTTCTTTAGATGCTGTTAATCCCCCACAGCATCCTAGAGCAGTACTGTCCGACTCTCACTGCACTGTCACTTCCCTGGCAGGTAAGCTAGATGTTTAAAATGAGGCATGTGGAGCACTTTGGGGCTTCAGAATAAAGAAGCAGTCCTGGAGGGCTGACTCCAAGTGTCACCTGGTTCGAGCTGCTTGGTAGGAAGCATCAGAGCCAAAACTGTTTCTCTTCTGTGAGGATACAGCCTCTCAGGTGTCTGGGATACAAACGTTTTCTGCCCTAAATTAACAGCAAAGGAGGAGGAGGCTGGTCTTCCGGTACACAGCTCCTCAGTATAAAGCATGGGGCTTTCTGTCAGCAGAAACCTCCCAGTGGGAAACCAACCTGAAGTAGCAGGAAACAGACACCAACCCTGAGGGCAGTGGAGACAGCCAACAGAAGAAAATGAAATACTTCTAGCATCGCTAGTGTGCATGATAGCTGACGGCTCTGTTCCCATGGGAGTCCAAGTATTTAGCATCCATAATATTAGACATAACACAAAACCCCCAACCAGATCATCAAAGAATCCTAGAGTTAGAAATCATCCTCGAAGTCTTCTGTTTTGACCTTCTACCCAATGGGGTAATTTGCTGCTTGTGTAGGGTATGTGTATCTGTGGCTTTCCTGGAACAGTTAATGACATCAGCCTGATTGCTAAATAGAAAAGAACTCAACTCCTCCATGCCCTTCACATCCTGGAAGGGTTCATCTGCCAATCAAAGGCTATTTGTTTCATACCTTTTTCTATCTAGATCAGCCCAACCAATCAGACAGACTACCTTAGCTGGCTGCCATGTTGCCAGGTGACCGAGCCTTCCGATAATCTCACCTGAATGCCCTCTCCTGTGAGAGCTGAGCAAGACTGGATCTGCCAGACTCGGTCACGGATGGTGTGCAGGTTCAGTCCTTCTGCAATTTCAGAGGCAGGGGCTGCTGTGAGCAAATCCTGCTTATTAGCAAAGATGAGCACTGGCACACAACTTAGCTTTTCTTCCTCCAGTAATTCAGCCAGTTCCTGGATCATTTGGGGAACAAAGAGGGAGAGAAGGATGAAATCTATGATATTTAACCAGGCACTTGTAGTAAGAAAGAAACAAAACACTTAAGCTGATCAACTAGCAACTTCCAAGGGCAGTGGTTCTCAAACTTGAGCCTGTGGAAGAATCCCCTGACAGACTCCTGGGCACACCTCAGAGATGCTGAGCTTGGAAAGTCTGAGCCAGGGCCCAGGAATCTGCATTTTTAACCAGCTCCCCAGGTGGTTCTGCTATAGTGGATTCATCGTATACGTGCTGAAGTGAGCATGATCAGGGATTCATAGATCATACTTTGAGAAACACTGTTCAAGGGAGAACACAAGTTGTAGTAAAGATTTAAAACCTACCCACGGTTATTATCTGCAAATAACTTTCAATGCATATATATACACACACATACACACACATATATCTATATGTATATATATACACATACATATTCTTAAAAATTTAAATTTAAAATGACAATTGCTTTAGACACTATAATTATGTTTCATCAATCTCTATTCTCCAAAACATGCATGCACGCGTGTTTAATCAAATCCACATCCTAAAATAACTGTATTAGTCCGCTTGGCAAGGTCTCTCGGATTTTTAGGTTATTGGTTGGGGTCTAAACTGTATGTTGATTCTATCTGAAATAAGCATAGGAGAGGGCGTATGCTTACCTACATGCCAGGACCCACCTCTTCCCCATTAAACCCACATTTTAGCTACTTAAGACACTGGCTGTCAAAGAGAACTGGATGGTTCAAGAGGCAGGTCATTATACGCCACCCTTCACCTCCAAGCTCATGTTTAGAACTGGTTCACATGAGTGATGATCCAGAAATCGTCAAGGTATGGAAGGGAAATGGGCTGTCTCCAGGAATCTGGAGAGTTTTCAGATTAATTTCCAGGAAAAAGGAACATAAACATGGGGACTGCTACCTTTGGAACCCCACCTGTGGTAGTTTGGGACACAGGCCAAGGACTCCGTAATGAGATGGAGGCACGCTTCTCCAGAGAGTCCACTCTACTCCTTGTTTCTTATCAGCGTACTCAGTCTGGGTAAAACGGTCTATGCCCACTGCTTCTCTATTTAAAATAGTGTAGACAAATCTCATCGTGTAATCATGTTGACATGTACTCTGCATTTCAAGCCATATATGGGTTCAAAGTACTCCTATCTCTTGGCTTGGAAACCAGAGCAGCTTAGTCTTGGCTTGTACATTTCTTCCCACCTGTTGGAATTTGTTAAAGCTATCCTTGGATCAAGTAAGTTGGTACTGAAAAACATACAAAGAAATGATAAGAGAATTGTTCCTCTTGGTTCATTTCTACCTGGCCTAGGAAGAAACCTGAAGAGCTGGGGCATGGCAGTAAGTTCCATTTGCTTATATCTTATCAATTTAGTTTGGTTAAAACCAAAAGCCTTTAATCAAAAAATTGTTTAAAGGATTTTCAACTAATTTCTTTTTAGGCAACTGGTATTTCTGCCTACTTGCCAGAACGACTGTCTTGTTTAAACTGCAAAGGTTAAACAAAAAATACCTCCCTCCCTCCCTCTCATACATGTCCAAGGTAGATTAATGAATACCAGTTACTTGGGAAATATCTCAACAGAAGAACTATTTACCTGACCCGTCTCTTCAAATCTTTTTCTGTCTGCGCTGTCAATTACATATATCTGTAAAGTAAAAGAAGAAGGTTACTTCAATAAGCAGACACGGAAACAGGGCGACTTCTACAGAAGGAGCAGGTGACCTGCCATCAGCAGAGTTCACAACAGCACACAGACACTGGGCTGGTAGCTCTTACTGAATTTACAGATGCAAAATAAACACATGAATTAACTAAATGGGGGCTGCCTCGAAAATACCTCCAGCAAAGCTCCAAAGTAGGAAATCAAGAGAGACAAGCAGGATAAAAAAATAGCTACATTTAATGGGCATTCACTGAACATTCTTACTAGATTTACCCTATAAATTCCCGAGACTCTATGGGATGGATTTCAGTCTTTTCCCATTTAAACGTAAATAAACATAAGCCTAAAGAAGTTAAGTCACTTGCCTACATTGTATCTGGTGCTTGACAAAATTGGGATTCAAGCTCAGGCACACCTGGCAGTAAAGTGCACTGTCGCTCTGAAGCGTTCTGCTGTACTGCGTCCCAGCTGCGAGGAAGGGATGGCGTTTGCAGGCGGTCCTCAAACATCATCACTCTGAAGTACCATTTGCAGTATTAACTACATGCTGACTTCAGGTGCTGAGGAGGCAGGAGACCCAGCGATCTCCATCCCATTCCCACCTTCACAGGCTGCTGGGAGGTTAAGATCAAACATGGACAACAGCAAGGCAGAGGCTTAGCCAGAGTAAGAGAAGTCTCGAGATTCACCGTAAAGCACAAATCCCGAGCTTTCTCTCCCATCACTGAATTTTATGTATTGAATAAATAACATCCTATAACAACAAAAAGGGACATAAGGTAAGACCAAAAAAGGAAAGAAAAATCACCTATTGTTACAGAACCCAAATACATTAATTACTTTAATTTCCTATGAAAGTTCCCTTCTAATTCTTCTTCATACAAAAATCAAAGAACTAGAAATATATTTTTCGTAGTCCTTTTTTTCATTAAACTTTGTAGTAAATCTTTTCCCAGTTGCTAATCTTAAAAATTGTCAAATTTTCAAGCTTTCTTTAAAGAATTTAGAATTGTTTAGAATTAAACTAATGGCATAATGGAAACACTCTTTTATAGCATTTCTTTTTTTAAGATTTTATTTTTTTCCTCTTTCTCCCCAAAGCCCCCCGGTACATAGTTGTATATTCTTCATTGTGGGTCCTTCTAGTTGTGGCATGTGGGACACTGCCTCAGCGTGGTTTGATGAGCAGTGCCATGTCCACGCCCAGGATTCAAATCAACGAAACACTGGGCTGCCTGCAGCGGAGTGCGGGAACTTAACCACTCGGCCACGGCCACGGGGCCAGCCCTGGAAACACTCTTTTAAAAGAGCACATTCATTTAAAAACAATAACAAAAAGCAATCTTCAACTGTTACTTTAAATGCCTTAAATTATATAAACTGATATATTATAATGCACATAGGCATTTCTGTATGCAAGTCAAATTCTGTGCTACTCTGAAAACTCACTCTCTTTTGAAAGGAAAAAAACAGTTAAAATCCCTTTGCTTGGGGCTAGCCCCATGGCTGAGTGGTTAAGTTCATGCACTCTGCCTTGGTGGTCCAGGGTTTCTCCAGTTTGGATCCTGGGCGTGGACCCAGCACTGCTCATCAGGCCATGCTGAGGCGGTGTCCCACATAACACAACCAGAAGGACCTACAACCAGAATATACAACTATGTACTGGGGGGCTTTGGGGAGAAGAGGAAGAAGAAAAAAAAGAAGATTGGCAACAGATGTTAGCTCAGGTGCCAATCTTTAAAAAAAAAAAATTCCTCTGACTCAATGTTAATATATGCATTAATGGGCTCTGCACACCACATATGCCCCAAATCCAATACTGTCTGATTAGTCACTATGCAGAACATGGTGGTAGCTTGGTTTTCTACCAGTGGGGCTCACATTTGTAAAGTGGCAGGCACAGTATAAACAGAGATGGAGAAAGAAGGAATACAATGAGAGAGTGAACCTCAACATAAAAGATCTAGTTAGAAATTATGCGGGAGTTTACAGTGGATTAGAGTGATCTTCACTGGGCAACAGTGCAAGAAGATGGGAAGGAGGGGAGGGTGGGTCGGATGATCACTGGGAGGGTGTTTTGGGCCCAGAGGGCTGCCTGAAGCCTGCATGTAGGTCATTGGGCAAGAAAGGAATCACAAAGCAGGAGACAGAGCACTTGAGAGCAAAGGGTGGGAGTTAAGAAGGTAAGGGCGGAAAAGAGAAGTCTGAGACAAGGCTGAGGCCACAACTGAAGATTCAGTTAAGAAATCCATGTTTGATATGACAAAAAACAGACAGCTGGGAGAGAATAATGAGGAATGGAAAGATAGTTTTAATAGTAGACAAGAAAGATGGCCAGTTAAATACCAGAGAATCCCGAGGCTGAAGGTCAACGAGAAGAAAGTTTTAACTTTTGCATAAGCTAAATTACTTGCTATGTATTGCTTTGGCATGAAATTTCACAGGAAACATTTTCATGACGAGATTCAAAAGGCGGTTTTCCCTTAACTATACATAAATTCTGCCTATCATTTAGCATTTTTCTCACATAACTCATAAAATTTGAAGATTACCGCACAATAATTCCAGGATGAAGTCCATAAAACAACTGCCTGTTTATTAAAAGGGCCAAGTGAAAAAGTCATGAGCGCCAGCCGCTGGTGAGCCCACAGATCTGTTTCCTGCAGCGGTGGACTCTTCTCCTGGTTGCCCCGCTTCCCAGCGCTGCCCAGTTCCTTCATGCAAGCATCTGTTTTATTCTGGTCGATAGCTAAAGATGAGGATAGCCGATTGGCTTTTGTTTTGTTTTGTTTTGTTTTTAAATAACATAGCTGTTAATCCAGTCATGTAAAAAAGATTTTAAAAGATTTTAATCCAAAAACCAACTAGCAATCAATAAAAAACGCTCAGGAAGTATCAGAGAAAATTCAACATGTTAGTGCTTCTGACTGATCTTAAAACATTATGGACCTTCAAAAATCAAGTTTCATAAACCTGTTCTAAAATGAAGTTATAATCCATGGCACTCGGAATGAGAATGATGCTTTAAGCAAAGCCAATTCACACCTTCTTCGGCAACTGCTTTGAAATTCTTATTTGGTTGTGGGAGGAAGACCTAGAGAAGAACCTTTCTTGATGGAAGTTCTGCCAGCGCTGGATCATCCAGACTGATTATCCAGTGTGTGAATGGACGGCTCTTTGTTTCTCCTCTTGCTTCCGGTCCTCCTCCCTCCTGCTGCCACCTTTTGGCCATTTTATTGCTCCTACGTATTTCTCTACCAGAGGGGTAAGACAGAGGCAAGAAGAGATGACACTAAACAGTGTGGCTTTTTATTGATAGCTTGAGCAAAAGTCTAAGAGGAGGGTGAAACTGACAGGCAAGCTTTCTGGATAACCTGCGGTTTGCAATTATTTGTGCTCTAGCAGTACTGATGCTCAAGTGTGAGTGATATTATGGAAATACTGATGATATGTAAATGGAGTTTAGCAGTAATAGGAATATACTTTGAAAAGAAATTATGTATTTTTATCTATAAAAAGGCTGTTATTTCCTGGCCTATGAGAAACGGAAGACACCCTATCTCCTCCCTTCTATCACACCTCAGGTTTCATTTCTTAGTCACTTCCCCCAAATTAATAAAGCTGCAGTCAGATGTTCTCAGTGTCATCTTCCCTGAGAATAACTTTGGCACTTTTAGGAGTTGCCCTGACTCTTTCAAATCTCTAGGGAACCATTTAATACTCTAAAGTGAGGGTCGACAATCTTTTTCTGTTAAGGGGTCAGGTGGTAAATACTTGAGGCTTTGTGGCTCGTACAATCTCTTTGACAGCTAGCGAACTTTGCTGTAACAGTGTGAAAGCAACCATAAAAAATACGTAAAGAAAGGGACATGGCTGTGTTCCAACAGAACTTTATTTATGGACACTGAAATTTGAATTTCATATCATTTTCATGTGTCATGAAATCTTATTCTTCTTTCGATTTTTTTTTTCCCCAACCATTTAAAAATGGAAAAACTGTTCCTGGCTCACAGGCCATACAATAACAGGAGGCAGGCTGGATCAGTTTGTCGACGCCTGCCCTAAAGCCAGAATTTATTATGGCGCTCCAGAGATAATTGAAAAGAGTTAACCAGGCAACTCAGTGTGTCAAGGCTCAACCCTGCTCTTCTAGGCAGCGTGAAGTCTAGTGCAATAGGCCTTTTCAACCAACAAGGGGAGACTATTAAATACAGACAAACAAATGAATATAACCTATCAGCCACTGCCACTCTAAGCAGCTACAAACTGGCAGACGGGGCTAAGAGTCACAAGGCCTTAGAGTCTAACCCTGTGGACTCAGCTGCTCCCCAAGACATGTTCAGTCTCAAATGGCACTGGAGAATAATGAAAAGTTGACTCTGAATCCAAAATATCGTCTGCTTCTGGCAGTGTGATGTAGTTGGAGAAATCTCCTCTGCGGTTGCTCTGAATTGATTCTCGCTGTACTGTGCTAACTCCCAGGCACTCTCAGCTAATGAGAAGTGTGGAATCCGAGCCATACTGCAACCACCTTGCAGTCTACCCTCAAGATGTGAGAACTTATCATTTAAAATTACCTTGACCTGTAGACCACAGAGTGTCTGAGACCTCCTTACGGAGCCTCAGAGTCATTAATGTCCTTATATACTGTTCTTATTTGGGTATTTCTTTCAAAGTACCTTAATCCAGCAGATGAACAGACAGAACTATTTCTCTCAATCACCTGCTTTTTCCCAACTCCTGACTCAAAAAGCAAAAGATAATCTATAGCTTTTTTACTCCCAGTTTTATTGAGAGAGAACTGGCATACGGCACTGTAGAAGTTTAAAGTGTACGGCACGATGATTTAACTTGAATCTATAGCTTTTAAAAAATCAACTGACTTAAATGTTTTAGCAGTTTTAGATTTACAGAATAACTGAACAGATAGCACCGAGTTCTATATACCTACTCCCCTTCCATTCCCACCCCAAGTTTCCCCT